AGCCACACAATGGAGTACGATACAGCTATAAAAAAGAATGAGGAATATTTTTACATGCTGTTATGAATTAATCTCCAAGATATTTTATAAAGTGAAAAAAAGAAAATAAAAAACATACACAATAGCACACACAAAAGGAGATATAAGAATACTAGTACATAGATACTTGTTGGAGTGTGTATGTATGTGTGTCTATATGCATATAAATATGTTTATATGTATGCATGAACACACACATATATATATACTTATATAACAAATATACTTATTTATATATAATAACCTAAAACCTAACAGCAATTCATGGAAAGAGGAAGGAAGGATCAAAATGGAGAATATATAAAAGTAGACTTCTCTGAATATACTTTGTTTTATAGCTGCAATTTAGAAACCATGTGTTTTAGCAAATTACAAAACAAGATTAAATTAAATAAACAATTCTTAAAGAGAAAAAAAGAAAACCAAAATGAACAAACTGTGTGTGAAATTGGTGGCATAACCACATAGAGAAAAAATATTTTCAAATGAATTTTAATACAGTAATTTGTATATACATCTCTAGGGAATACAACCTAAAAACAAGATAGCAACAACAAATTGTTAACAAATCTTGAATTGCTTTTATTAATCACATTGTTAAGAATAATATTGGTGTTTGTTAGTCTAAAACTCTTAAAGACATATTATCAGAATAAGAAGTTGCATAACTTTGTTACTTTCATTAAGAACTAATTTCAATGTAAGAGAAAAGGTGTTCAAATATAAAACATAGAGATTAAGTAAAACCCCCAAAGTTTTAAATTTTAATTGACAACTTTGCTGTAAACTTGAAGTATTTTCTCTTTGAAAAAAAGATGTATACTCTGGGTCAGTCCTAGACCTAGAAATAACTATCAATTCATGATTAATTAGTACTTCTACTGGGCAGATTAATACTCTTATCATATATAAGCAATAGCATTTCTTAGAGAAGTGGCTGATTCCAGGTCTGGGGCAGGGAATATACAAGATGAGCAAGTAAATAACTTACCAAAAGTTATATCAAAAGGAACTTCGAGAAGAGGCTAGTATGGGTAAAATACAGCACAACCTCAGTATTGACAAGAATGATAGCAGCAGTGGGTTGGAGTATATCAAACATGTATAAATCAATGATGTCATAGTAATATAACTAAAAGATTCTTTTAGTGGTGCGGGTAAAAAAAAACCTGATGATTATGAAAACTAGTAAATTAAGGAGAAGAATCAAGAACACATGGTTCCTCAGAGGAATGTACATCCTGTGTCTCTGGGTCATCAGATACTTGATGAGGGCCAGTTTCTCTCTACAGAAGTATTCTTAGATGAAAGAGAAATGATGGAATTAGAACATGATTTTGCAACCCCAAATGAAGTAATGGATCCAGATAATAATCACTGATGGCAGTTAACATTAAAACATGAGAAACAACCTAATATGATGCTATGTCTTTTGATGGAAATATATACCACCATCTATGAAGTATATTTGCCAAAAAAATGGAACCTGAACTTGATTAAATATTTAGACTTCATTACCAGAAATACATGGGACAGAACAATATTAAATGACACCACATAATCAGCAAAATCCAAAACGTGAGAAATTTTACAGGTCATAAGATAAGGCTTTTTCAATAAATACATTGCAAAGAAAAATAAAGAGGGGAAAAGGGAAACAATCAGATTTAAAAATGACTCAGGAGACACATCAATCATTTGCAATGTCTGGTTCTTGTTTATATTCTAATTTTTAAAAACTGAAAAAATCATTTGAGACAATTCAGGGAATTTGAACACTAATTGGATTTTTGGTGGTATTGAGGAATTAGTGTTCAATTTATTTTTGATGTGTTAATAGTGTGGTTTTTAAAAAATCCTTTTAGAGCTTGTACAGAAGTATCCTATCTAATAAAAGAGAAACATTGTAATTAACTGTACCTCCGCTACCCTTCCCATTGGCTAATCAGGGCGATATGCAAATTAACTGCCAGCCAAGATGGCGGCCGGCAGCCAGGCAGCTTGAAGCGAACATGAGGCTTGCTTGCTTCAGTCACAGAGGAAGCCAACGTTCCCCGCCTGCCTTGCAGGCCTCTGAGCTTGCAGTTTGAAACATTGTTACAAATATAGAAGCTAAACAAAACCCCAGAAACCTGCTTTCAGCCAGCCGGGATCTCAGAGCTGGAGTTGAAACAGTGTTTCGATGATAGAATCCCAACAAACCAGATACCTGCTTTCAGCAGCCGAGGCCTCAGAGCTGGAGCCAAGCCTCAGAGCTAAAGCTGGCCCAGAATAAAAAAAAGAAAAAGAAAAAAAGGAGCAGTTGGGAGCTTCAGTCACCCGCCAGCCTGAAAACAGCCCTCAGCCCCTCACCCAGACTGGCCAAGAACCCCAGTGGGGACCCCCACCCTGAAGGGGGTGTGAACAGCTGCAAACAGCCATCAGCCCCTCACCCAGGCTGGCCAGGCACCCAAGTGGGACCCCCACCCTGATTCAGGACACCCTTCAGGGCAAACCAGCCGGCCCCCACTGGTGCACCAGGCCTCTATCCTATATAGTAAAAGGGTAATATGCCTCCCAGCACTGGGATCAGCATGACAGGGGGCAGCGCCCAAACCCCCTGATCGCCCTGTGGCTCTGTGTGTGACAAGGTGCGGTGCCCCAACCCCCTGATCGGCCCTGCTCTGTGTGTGACAGGGTGCGGAGCCCCAACCACCGCCCCCCACAGGACCTGCTCTGTGTGTGATGGGGTAGAGCCATAACCTCCCCATCGGCCCTGCCCTGAGTGTGACAGGGTGCGGCGCCCCAACCCCCTGATCCGCCCTGCTCTGTGTGTGACAGGGGGCGGTGCCCCAACTCCCCTATTGGCCCTACTCTGTGAGTGACAGGGGGGAGCTCCTCAACCCCCTCATGGGCCCTGCTCTGTGCGTGACAGGGGGGAGCTACCCAACCCCTGATAGACCCTGCTCTGTGCGTGACAGGGTATGAAGCCCCAACCCCCCTGATGGGCCCTGCTCTGTGAGTGACAGGGGGCAGCACCCCAACCCCCTGATTGGCCCTGCTCTGTGTGTGACAGGGGGTGGCGCCGCAACCTCCCCATCGACCCTGCCTTGAGTGTGACAGGGGCCGGTGCCCCAACCCCCCAATCGGCCCTACCCTGAGTGTGACTGAGGGTGGCATCGCAACCTCCCGATCCGCCCTGCTCTGTGCATGACAGGGGGCGGCGCCCCAACTCCCCAATCAGCCCTGCTCTGAGCTCGACCAGGGACTGCACCTAGGGATTGGGCCTTCCCTGTGCCACCTGGAAGCAGGCCTAAGCAAGCAGGTCGTTATCTCCTGAGGGTTCCCAGACTGCGAGAGGGCACAGGCTGGGCTGAAGGACCCCCCTCCCCCCCGAGTGCACAAATTTTTGTGCACCGGGCCTCTAGTTTACATATAAAATCATATTGTTATGTCTAAGATTTGCCCCATACTAATCTAGTAGAGTTTGAATGGGTGGGGAGGGGACCAATAGGTAAAGATGAATGAGTTTGGTCATGAACTAGTAAATGTGGAAGTTGGGTGATGCGTATGTGGGGGGTTATTATACTATTCTTTTTGCTTTTGTATATGTTTGAAATGTCTCATAGTAACACAGAGCAGGAAATAATTTAACCCAGAGAATAGATTGTGGTAATTTCAGGCCCAGAGGGAAGAATGCTTCTCTGGATCTCTCAAATCATACACAAGTGACCAAATGGTCGGCCTTTGCTGGCATCCCTGCTTAGAAAAGTTGTCCTTGACAATCTATTTCATTCTGCAGTTCAGTATTATTCTCCTGATTCTTTAAAAATTGGTGTTTGTGACCACCTGCACTACTCTGGGCAAACCCCACAGGAACTGCACTGTTAATCAAGAGTGCTAAAGTCTTGCAGTCATTGATTCTTCTGGACTCTGTTAAGTGCTATTGATTCCTGCCTGCTGCTCTGTGATCTTCCTAAATGCCCTTTGGCCTGTGTTTCCTGTCTTTCGAGGAGCTCTCAATTTCCCAGTTGCAGGGAATGAATGTAGTACAATGCCTAATAAAATGTACTTAACAACAATAGGTTCAAGGTTGGCTCCTGCTGCAGAAGAGTTGTCTTATCTGCTTTCAGCATCACTTTACCTGTGGTACTTATCCAGACTTGTTAAAGATTTTCAGAGCAATTGGTTTTTAAGGTGTCCCCGCTAACCCTGCCTCTAACTTCATAGGTGACCTTTCTCCAGGCTGGATTATTTATGTGTTTCTTGCAGTCTCACTAGGGAAGTGTTTTTGCCTCCAAATAAAGACTACTGTCTCCTATTATGACCTCAAATACCCTGAAAGCTTCAGTTTCGTTAACTTGCTTATAGTACTTATCTCAGGAGGGTGTTTTGAAGAGTAAAAGAGGTATTATGTATATTCTTTACACATAGTGACTTCTCATAACATAGTAGTTATTCATATATTATTTAAAAATTTAATCACAATATATAGTAATACTTATTTTTTAAAATAGATTTTTAAAATTGATTTCATAGAGGGAAGGTGATAATCATTGATTGGATGCCTCCTGCATGCCCCACACTGGGGATCGAAACTGCAACCTGGACATGTGCCCTGACCGGAATTGAACAGTGACCTCCTGGTTCATAGGTCAACGTTTAACCATTGAGCAACACTGGCCTGGCAGTAATATTTATTTTTAATTCAAAAACAATTTTCTCCAAAAGCTGGTACTAAATATTGAGGGTCATTACTCATTCTTTCAATTATCAAATATATGCACCAAGTTGGACCCTGATGAGAATGATTTACGACTCTCCCAACACGTAGTCCACATCCTCCCTCCATTCATGGATGGTGTCAGAGGCCAACAAAAAGTCTGTGGGAGACATGCACATCTCTTCTGGTTTCCAGAGCTAGAGCTAGAGAGAGTTCCTCCTGACTGACTGTAGGAAGTTCTTCAAATCAAGAGAGTGTCTCAGTTTCTAATTGGCTCTGCTAAACTGCAGGTGTAGCTTCTAACTCCAGGGTCACCACACCTAGTATATACCTCCTTCAAGGCCTTCAGCTGCTCAATTATTCTGTCCTTCATGGCCATGGCAAGGAGGGCTGCACTGTTTCCAGCTTCTTGAGACACAAATGTCACCAGGTTTTTGCAAAAACTTGGGAGACTCGTCCTGCCTGAGAAGAACTTTAGTAATGAGAATGGGCTTGCTGATGTCACTGGCCACATTGCTGGGTTCCAGGGAGACCAGGGTACCCATCTTCTGGTTCAACATCACCAGGATATGACTGCTGAAGGCTGAGCAGAACATCTGGGTGGGGACCCCAGGCATCACCTCTGTGTTGATATCACCAAGGGTTTGCCTTCCATGGCTGAGTCTCTTCAATGGCACCTGGAACTTTCTGAATTCATTGATTAGACATATACTAGTACACTGACAGGCCAGCAAGAAAGGGTGATGTCAAACTACGTTTGTCTCTAGAGGCAGGTGAGGGGCCTCACTCCCTGCTGAAAGCAGCACCTCAAACATGCTCACAGGGTTGCTGAAGCACTGGGTGGCCCATCCCCATCAGACAGCCTTTAGTGATGCCACCACCTCTGGTATGGAAGCAAGCTCTGCTGGTGAGCAAACCTGGACCAGAGCAGGAGCTTTCACCCTAATGCTGCTCTGGTCTGCCCACTGAGGTTTTATTTTCTGCATTTGGGGAAACAACCAATCCCACAGAGAAGCAGCACCACCTCCAGGTCAGACAGAGACCCTGAAGGTTGTGGGGCAGTGGGTGGCTAAGACAGACTGCAAGGATATTCACCCACCACCATCCCAGTTGCGCTCACTCCTTGTAGTCATAATTATTATAGTGAAGGCATCTAGAGCTTATAGCAGTTCATACATGCATCTATTATAACAGTTAATACTTTGTTGCCAGAGCTGACCAGCAGACCCTGAGCAATGGATGAATGATTACTCTGACACGGGATTGCTGTGAAACAGAGAGCTAAGGGGCTGCCTGGCGAAAGGAACCAGACAGCCCTGTTCACGTGCCTCTTCAGGCTTTTATTGTAACAGCAGTTTGAGATAAAGTTTATCTTTTAGATACAATCAGTAGAGTAAGTAATCTTGGGAGGACAAATGTGTCTTCAGTGTCCTTTAAGCAAGGACACCTAAAGATTAAGCATAAAGATTCTGGTAAACACCCAAGGGTCCTCACATGCACAGACTTGTTTGGAAAGATCAAGGAACAATTAGGGGCAGCCGCCTTGGCCAACTCCCCTAAGTCGAAATTCCCAGAAACAGGGGCAGGCTGCCTTCAGCCAACTTCTCTTTTTGGAATTTCCTTCTTACAAATTTTCTAACCAAGTTTCCCATGCTTCCCTATACTTTATACTGTAACTCTTTCTTTCTTTCTTTCTTTCTTTCTTTCTTTCTTTCTTTCTTTCTTTCTTTCTTTCTTTCTTTCTCTCTCTCTCTCTCTCTCTCTCTCTCTCTCTCTCTCTTTCTCTCTCTTATTTAGATCTTTATTTTTCTCTTTATTGATTAAGGTATTACATATGTGTCCTTATCTCCCAATTGTCCCCCCATCCCCCTGCTAGTGCCCTCACACCCTTAATGTCTGTGTCCATTGTTTAGACTTATATGCATGCATACAAGTCCTTTGGTTGATCTCTCCCCTTTCCCCCCACCCTCCCCTATCTTCCCTCTGAGGTTTGATGGTCTGATCAATGCTTCTCTGTCTCTGGATATATTTTTGTTCATTATATTACACAAATGAGTGAGATCATGTGATATTTATCTTTCTCTGACTGACTTATTTCACTTAGCATAATGCTCTCCAGGCCCATCCATGCTGTTGCAAATGACAGGAGTTCCTGCCTTTTTATAGCAGTATTCCATTGTGTAGATGTATCACAGTATTCTAATACACTCATCTGCTGATGGGCACTTAGGCTGTTTCCAAATCTTAGCTATTGTAAATTGTGCTGCTATTAACATAGGGGTGCATATATCCTTTCTGATTGATATTTCTGTTTTCTTGAGATATATTCCTAGAAGTGGGATTACTAGCTCAAATGGGAACTCCATTTTTAGTTTTTTTGAGGAAACTTCATACTGTTCTCCACAGTGGCTACACCAGTCTGCATTCCACCAGCAGTGCACAAGGGTTCCTTTTTCTTCGCATCCTCGCCAGCACTTGTCACAAGTTGATTTGTTGATGACAGCCATTCTGACAGTTGTGAGATGGTAACCCATTGTTGTTTTCATTTGCATCTCTCAGATTATTAGTGACTTTGAGCATCCTATCTAATAATAGACAAACATGGTAATTGACCGTACCTTCACTAAGCCTCTCATTGGCTAATCAGCGTGATATGCAAATTAACTGCCAAAAAAGATGGCGGCTGAATTTGCATACTGCAGGCAGGGGCGAATCAGTGCATCTGGCTGCCTGCCGCATCCGGGACTGCTATCTGCGACCCGGG